CCATTTCTTCTGGAACTCCTGTTGTCAAACTAGGAACAGGCAAGCCTGTTGCTTCGTCAATGCAAGACTCCAGCAACTCCTTGCTGTCTAGTAAATCAACAATCAGAGGCATGCTGCAAAAGTAGGAAGGTGGACAGACATAGGTAGAGTCATTTCAGAAAAGTGACAACACATGGCAAGGATTTAAAATAAGCAAACCTCAGGTAAAAATGCAGATCACATCTCATTTCCTGTGGGGTGTGATCATAAGCACAGCATGACCAGACTGGAAGCAAAAAGCATCTTCAAACAATCTCTCTGAATTTTTTTCTATGGATAATGCATGCGCACACAGGACATGGGAATGGCTGCATCATGCAACAATTTTATTTCTTATAATAGCCAAAGAGCAAATCCAAATCCTTCCTTGCTATGTGGAATCTGAAATCCCAAACCAAAACCTAGATCCAAGCTTTATAAAGCAGATCTATCCATTGTTTTAAAGGTGGACATGCAACTAACTATTTAAATTTAACTTAGGCCAAATCCTTCAGTACTTTTTAATACAATTTTAAAAACTAAGATAGAATGCATCCCTTTGCAAAAAAACCAAACAAACCCCACAACCTTTTCCCCCTTTGTAGTATTATTTACACAGAGCTACAGAGGCGCATGGCACTTTACAGAACAAAGTTGGGTTCTCCCTCCCCAGCAGAACTCACAATCTAAGTTAAGAACTGAACACCACAAGGAAAGGAAGAGAACAGGGTAAGACAAGGTAAAGGTAGCAAGACTACTACTACTCTATGCCCAAAGATCTAAAGGCACTTTGTCAGTCTCAGAGTAGCTCTGTAATGTAGATATTTGTTCTCATTTTGCAGATGGGTTTGGAGATTAGAACCTGATTTTCAAATATGGGCTTGTACAATTGTGTTCAGAATCTGTGTGGAAGCACATCATCTGCTGATAGAAATCAAGTTTGCACTAACATGCCTAGTTAGATGCATGGCGGATGTCTTAAAAGAGTAAATATTTCCCAACTGATACCACAGATCTGAGATGCCTCAGCTTCCCTGAGGCTTTGAATTAAAAATAATGGTGGTATCTCAGATTGGATTTTCATGTCAGCTGAAAACTGATGACAGGGCCAAATGAAGTCTGTGCATCACTTTCGATCTTGTGCCAGTTTCATTCACCTTTAAATCTTTTTGTTCTATGCTATTCTTTAATGACATCCCACCCATCCTTGCTCTTCCTGGATTTCTAAGTTCCTTGCACTCTGGTATGTACCATCATGTGTAGAACTCTTTCTGGATCCATCTCTGACACATGGCCAAACAATTGCAGTAATCTTGTTGAATCTTCTAAAACAGTGCTAGCACTTCCTCTTATTTATTTTCTGAAGTCTTGAAACTCTCAGGCCTTGCCTACACTGAAAGATGGTCAATTTTCTAGCATCCAATTTTGTAAAGTCAAAGGTGCACGTCTCCACTGTGCACAAGAATTCGATTTAGTGCATCCCGTCCGGTAGCTACCATTGACTTTGAGAATGATGCACTGTGGGTAGCTATCCCACAGTTCCTACTACCCCTTTGCATTGTGGGTTATGCTCCCAGTGCCCAATGGGACCAAAACGGTGTAGCGGGTCATTCCAGGTATGTCAGCACTCCAAATGCACTCATCTTCCCGCCCCTTCCCCCCCCCCACTTGAAAGCAATGTCAATCAGCCTTTTT